CCCATCCGCACTTCCAGCCGAAGTGAGCAGGCGTCCCGAAGCCTGCAGCTCCCTCCTTGCCGGCCCTGGCAGGGGGTGCCGGGACAGCCCCGCCCCACGAAGCTTACACCCCCGGGGGCCCCCGAGCATAAAGACACCAGCAAGCGAGGCCCAGGCAGTAGATCTTCGGCAGCCTCTGTTCCAGCCTGTGATGCAGCGAGACTGCACCCATCCCTGCACCTCGTTTTTTCATTCACCCTAGGCAACTGCTGAATTTACCTTAAGCCCTCCAAAGCTGTTTTTAAGGCTGAAATTTGCCTCTGAAGATGCACTTTCCTTCAGTGGAGTGTGCAACTATTTAAATGGGTGCTTTCCCAGGTTCCTATCCACAGGCAAAAAACCAAACCAAACCAAACCAAACCAAACAAACAAAAAAAACCCAACAAAACCCAAAAGCAACTCAGAAAGTCTTTGGACAAGACCTCTCTGTTGGGAGCAATCTCCACTCTTGGCCCCTGAGAATCCTTTAGGAAAGTGGGCTTATGACATTAGATTTGCCAATCTGCTGTTTGGAGATTAAACCAGAATGTTGTCTCAACAAGATTATGAACAACATTGCTTCAGTCCTTGTCCAGGGAAAGGATGCCTTCCTCAAGAGACCCATATCCTGAGTCAGGCACAGCTACAGTCCCTGCCTGACCTCAGAAGAGTTCAAACCCTCCTCCTTCAGCATCCCAAGAAATGTGTAATGTCAGAGTCATGGTGTGGTGCTCACTGCAGGGGAAAGACAGAGATACTTAGCAGATACTGCAGTGTGAGTATTCCTTATGAGCCCAAAGGGGTGTTCCCTTTCTCAGACACAATCCCCTTGGAAATGCCTTTTAGCTGCAGTCAAAGCTGTGAGTACCAGCAAACCTTAAAACAGCAACAGATAGAGGTGAATGATTTTTTTAAATCCTCTACTCAGCTGCTCTTTGATGCCTACAAATAACTAACAAAGTAATTACACTGGGTCAAAGCACAGCTAGATATAGCTGAAGGACATTTATAAATGAGAATTCATATCCACTATGTTCAAAACAATACAGATTCTAGCCATACTTACATTTCCCATCCTATTTCTCACCATACACTATAAATGATTTGTATCATGGATCATATCCTCACTTACATTACAAATGAGACCCACATGTGGTCTTTCAATACTATTCAACTACACATAGTGCTAGCAGCCAATTTATTCCTTATCAATACTGAATCATTCAAAATTCCCATAGTAATCCATAAGATCTGTGACATAGTATAGGCTGTAAAGCTTCTCCCATCTTTCAAGTTAAAACTCTTTCTCTCTTTATGTATGATAATAATTCATAATGGAGTGTTTATACAGTGTTTTTATAAGCTTACATAAAGCATTTTATATTTGCAATTTAAAAAAAAAAAAGTCAACATTAGGTTGACAGTCTAAATACACTTGCTACAAAGATAGTCTTCCGTTTTGTCTTTCTTGGAGGCACACAAAGAGTTTCTGTTAGTACTACTGGAAAGTATTTTTATGAACAGGAGAGCAAACTTTTAAGTGCATTTAATAAATGCTTTAAAGAATTGGTAAAATGTACTAAACGTGTTTTTAAAGTGTGTTGAAACACACTATTGTTTTTAAATTGTAATCAGGCATAAACTGAAAACATGCATACATGCTGACTGCAACAGTTTCTAAATTTCAAATGCAAAACTCAAATTCGGTTTCTCATTAGTGCTATGCAACACTTAGCTTTGAAGATATTGCATGGGAGCAAATGAAGGCAGAACATGACCTACAGATCCTGTTCCCATTCGTATGAAACTTCTTTAATGATTTTTGCTGAATATGAGCTGTTCAGTAGAGATACAGTATTACTGAATATGGTTTAAGTAACTATTGAGTACTTTCTGTGTAATTAATATTGCATACATTATGCCTGAAAGTGTGCAATCCATACTTTCAATTCAGCTTGCCAACTATAAATTCAGAGCTGGATACAATACAACAGGCTGTGGAGTCCATCCGGTACCTTAGAGCAATAATGTATTCACAAGTATAGCTCTTCAATTTATTTAGCAGGCAGAACAGGTACTTTGCCAACATTGGTGACTACAGCATGCCAAGATATCAGAAGCAATGTATTGTATAATCACCAATAACATGCGCCTAGCTTCAACTGAACAGTTCTCCATTATTGTGACCTACCACATATTTATCACCCTGATGTTTCCTCATTGCTTGTCATTGACACGAGACAAAGCAACATTTACATTCATGTTTATGTTATGGTGGAAGTAAAACAGGTTTGGGAGTTCTTTAAAGATTAAGTTTTCTGTCCCTCTGAATCTCTTTTAACTGGCTTCCTGTGGGGCAACAGATACTAATCCAGATAGAGATTAATAACCAATTACTTAAATATAAATTCTCTAAAATTATGAACATAGAGAAAGGAATCTGTGTTATCTTTCCTAATACATCTTAATATCTATCACACATTTCTGAATGTAGAATTTACTCATGTGTGTTTTAACTATGTGAAACAAAAATATGGTTTGTTATTCTCAGATATTGAAAGCCATTAAAAATAAATCAGGAGTTTTATTTTAGCTGACAACTTTTATAACAATCTTGAATATGTGTTGTAGACATAATATATGACTTCTAATAAATACATACTTATATAAATGAGACAAAAGGAACTACCTGACACAAGATGTCTCATCATGGTTAATCAACAAAAAATTTCAAAGGTTTGGACATGCCTGAAGGAGATAAATTGAACGTCAAATATGCAGTTTCAACTTAGTGAAGATTACAAGCTAATCTAAGAAATTGTTACTGAAGAAATTAAAATATTGGCAAATATCTCCAATGAAACTGTTATGCACTGGTTCAAAAATGGAATTATTTGGTAAAGCCAACTAACTGGAAAGATTTAACCAATGAAATGCACAAATATTAGATTTATGTAAGAAAGCTCATTAAGAATGTTCATGGTCTTAAGCAATTAACTGGAATGAGCATGGAAGTTAGGAAGCTATTTGTCTGAGTTAACATACCAGAGCAAATAATCTAAACAGTCTTGGAAAGAGGATGTCAGACATCTTTGTAGGTACAAATAGTCATGATCATTCTTGATGCAATTCCCTGCAGTAAGCACAATCACACCACTGATTAACTTGGCACTTCACTTCTCTGGACAGGCTCTACATCGATAGAGTCTTCCCAGAGGAAGAATAATACCTCACAACATGTTTGTTCATTTGTTTTTCCTGGCAAATTTGCAGACAGTGAAAGTACAAGGGAATGACATCTCCCACAAGCTGCAGATTTCAAAAGTGAGGAAAAAGGATGAAGGCTTGTATGAGTGCAGGGTGACTGATGCCAACTATGGAGACCTTCAAGAATACAAAGCCCAGGCATTTCTCAAAGTCAACGCTAACAGCCACTCTAGGCGAATGCAAGCCTTCGAGGCATCTCCAATGTGGTTGCAAGACATGAAACCTCGCAAAAACATCTCTGCAGCTGTTCCAAGTAGCATCCATAACTCTGCCAATCAGCGTGCGCGTGTCACCTCCAGCCCTGAGGCAGCAGCCAAAATCCCCAAACAAAGTCCACAATCAGGTATGGTAAAGCATTTTCAGCTTTCATTTGATTGCTTACCAGCATGTAAAAGGAACAACAAGGTAACCAGGAATTGTGACTAGGAAGAATACGATGCTCATTTATTCCTCCTTTTTTTCTGGCTCTATTCCTCTTGCTATCTCCTTACTTCTTGAAAGCTGAAGAGTAAGTTTCTGGGCAGAAGAAGCAAAAAGTCTTAAATTTGGATATTACTATTATTTTCATCCAGCTAAGGTTAGCTCTCTAATCAAAGCTTAGATTTGCCCATAGCGTGTGTGAAGAGAAAGGGGTATGTCAGTGAATGACTCATCACATTTTAAGATGGTTGTGCATGATAAATTAAACAAAACACCTATCCAGGAGTGTTTTCTCCTAAGTCAATTCACACCAGTCAACTAACTTTTATATCTCTAACACTTGGTGAAATGAATCTACTTTTAGTAGCAATCCTATTTTCATAAGGAATTTGACTTCTAAATCTCAGCAGACCTGAGACACACCAGGTTATTTCTCTGTTGTGTGGGCTTTAGAAGGGACTATAGGTTTGTCAGAGAATGTGGGCTTGTCATCCTCAGCTGCTTGACCATTGGCTTTGAATTGAACATTAAAATAGTAATACCTTAATTGTCTGTCATAGAAATTAACATTCTATGTATTTTGTTTGGGAGATTTTGTATAACACTATATAAATAACCTATAAGCAATATAAGGCTGCATTTTCTACACTGATACAGTAAGATTCACAGTTACTCAAAGGTACATGAACATACAGGAGGTGCAGTTGGTGGCCACTGTATGATGGCATTAGAGAGACGGATAGGACAAAAAATTTGGACATATTGTAAATAACAAAAACATACTCTGGAAAATAAAATTATTTAGTTTAATGGTTTCTGAGTTATTTCTGTTTACAAGGAGGGCCCAATGTTAGGCAGGAAATCACAAACTGGTTTAAAATATATAACAGAAGCTAACCTAGTTTGTTTGGATGCATTAATTTTTATGCTAGTAAATGCCACATCATCAAAACCAAAACTGGGAATATGACAAATTTCACAGCACACCTACTGTGAAATCACTTTCATCTTACAGGCATACTATTAGGAAAACATTTTGGTAAGGAATATACGTTTAATTAAAGACTGGAACAATGTGATCATTGATATGAAATTTCTTATTGCAGTTAGAAAAGATGATGAAATTACTATCACTATTTTACCTCAGTAAACTTTAAAAAAAAAAAGTTACATTCAATTATCTTTACCTTTCATTTTGTATCTCTTCCCAAAAATGTTTAAGCTATTAGAGGAAAATAAATATTACCATTTAATACCATCATTCTACCATGGCTTTCCTTTCGGAAAAAATAATATACTGCTTATTTTCCATTGGACTAATACATTTCAAAGTAGCAGACTTGTCCATGCAGTGAAAACTCTGGTTTCTGTTCAGTTCTATGTTAAATTAATTAAAATAGTCACAAGTTTATGAAATATGTAGCGCAGACGACACTGCATTGCAGTCAAATTGTGCACACAATAGCTAATCCACTAAATCAATTTGGATATATAATTGAATCTATAATATTGTTTATGTCTTTAGTTCAAGCAATGTCTTGCTTGATTACTGGGTATTATAGATATTTGTTATTTGAGAGCTTGTAGGTTATTACATGGAAAAGCCCCTGTAAAAAGAAAGAAACAAACAAACAGAAAAAAAAAACCCTACAACATAAAATCACTGAAAAACTTACTAACTTCTTCCTTGAATAAAGATTACTGTATATAAAGTATAGAGTCTTAATAATAAATATTTTTTAAATTAAACACATTAAAATATAACTTTGTTTATTAATTGTTTTATTTTATGATGAAGAACAGATTAATGCTGTATTAATCAGAGGTGAAACTTGTCCAGTAAAGAAACAAAGAGTATCAAGAATTCATATTAAGCTTAATTTCAATGTATCAGTCATTTATTACACAGTGATACACTGGTGATATTGTTGAACATCTGTTTAACTCTTGAGAACCAAGAGTTAAGTACTTTACTTGAGGCCTGATTTTCCCACTATGGTGTGACTTGGATTTTCACTCTATTTTACACACACTTTATGCCACTAGAAATACCTACAGTTATTTTTGGGTTTTTTTTTAGTGTTTTTTTTTTTTTTTTTTTCCCTCTATATGACTTTGAGAAGCAACTTCAGCTAAGGAGACATCAATTGTGAGATCTCAGAAAAGCAGAACAGAGGTGTCAGAGACTACAATAGTCTTTCTTTTTATGAGATCAAATCAACACAATCTCTTTATACTGCCAAATGAGAAACTGTTCCCTTCTTCAGCATCATGCTAACTGCATATGCATGCACAAGACTACTGTGTGGTGATATTACCTGTAAGCAATGTATCCATCCAGTCTAGAACACAGAAACATGGTTGAATACAAATTTACTATTAACCACATATTTGAAAGACTTAGTGGGTGATTGTGATGTGTTTGTTCATATTGAATAATGCATTGACTTCAGCAATATTGTTTGAAAAGAGAATTACTGTTAACCACAGGTAATTGTATCAAATATTTTCCATTGTTAGCGAGTTGATGTATAGTTATTAGCAAGCAATGAATTTTACTGCCATACTCACAGACTATTGAGAAATATGTTTACAGCAGAGGGAAACATGACACTGAAATTATCAGGAAAACTGTCTTCAACTATTTCTGAAGAACTCAGCTTCTAATATAAGAATGATTAACTCTGATTTTATTAATATTTTGTCTCCAAAATTTATTTTTGAAAGGTAGAGAGCACTCTACTTAATTCCTTCTATCCTGAAGCATGCTGCAAACTTGCATTTATTTCTTATCAATTGATATTCGATACCTATTTAACAATAGATATTTAAAACATACCTTAATAGGTAGCTCTAGAAAACCAGTTTACAGTCACTGTCATTTTAAAATATCAGTATTTTCCAACTGAACAGATATTTCTGCCCTTCTCCTCTTTTACTCAAAATTACGAACGTCTGTGATAACTATGGGGGAAGTATATAGCCAGGGTTGACAATTTAAAGTGTTACAAGGTCCATCCAGCATTTTGTGGCGCTCAGAAAAATACAATGTGAGTGTTATTATTAGTATAACGGAGATTCAGTATAGGAAGAAAGAGCTAAAGAGAATGTCTCCCACAGACAGTCTTCTGATAATATACTAAGAATGACTAAATGTCTGCCTCAAAGTCAAAAAGGCAGGAAAGCAAAAGTTAAAGCTAACACAGCTTGACCCTTTCATTTCATATTCATGGGCTGCAGCAAATGAAGTAAGAAATCACATCTTAACAAGAATCTGAGTAACCTGACAAGCTAATCTGCACATATCCAGAAAATGTTCTATGTAGGTGGAATGACAGACCTTTTTTTTTTTTTTTTTTTTTTTTTCTGCAAAATTCATAATAATATATCTTGGTCCAATGGTTAAAGTGCAGAGCTATTAGAGCCTTGTAAGACTAAGCAACATTGCAGTTAACTGAGGTCCAAGAGCTGCAACGAATTCAGGTAAAGTACAGGCTGCAACAAGTCTCACTGTTTCATTTAAATCTAGGCAAACTCTGCTACCTGCATCCAAGTTGCTCAACACTTCTAGCGACACAAAGGGCTGCAGATTTGATATGCTGAGAATGTATGACTCAAAGTCATTAGTTGCTTTTCAGACGCAAGAAGATCGGGGTCAGAGAACTCAAGAGGGAATAACTACAAATGAAGAAGTAACCTTAGGTCCATTTTCTGACTGCTTGCATACAGACTCCACATTTCCAGCAACTTTTTGTCTTTCATGAAGTAACAAAGTCAATTGTTAACCTAACTGCATACTGAAACTGTTCCTGTAATGATGGCAGAGTTGCAGTAAGTGACTTGAAAGGGAGCACAAAGGAGAAGGTGGCCCTTGCATAAGAGAGATTGACCTGAATTCTTGGCATCATAAAGCACACTGAGAAACTGGTCATCAGACGTGATTACAAAAGAAGAGGATGAAAACTTATTTCTTTAGTCTGTTGATACTGATAAACCAACAACATTTTTTCCAGCCTTCAGTTTTATCTACAAAATCCAGGAATTTTTTTAGTATCAGTCTATTGTAAATACAAATTTTAAGTGTTCATTCCTCTTAAAGTGAAGGGACAAAAAGTCTGTTCTAGCCTCCACCAAGACAACAGACACTACTGCTTTGTTCACTAAGAGAAAGACTGGGTTTTCTTCCTGCTGCTTTAGAAACTGAGTTTACATAAATCTGCAAAGCAAACACCATTACTGTGATTGCTGCACCGTAAAAAGTCAAGTCTCTGTTTCCTTAGGAGTACATTAAAGCAAAAGCCAAATGAGAGTTTTCTTCTTGTTCTGAACCTTATTCAGCCTTTTTCAGAAATTATTGCAAAAAGATGATGCAAGGAGGACTATTCGATTTTACAACTGTATACACTACAATCTCTGTTTTTACTCAGAACTTACCCTTTACTTCTGTCTTCCTAAAATGAAGTCACCCCACACTTTTAGTTTCTCTCAAATAATAGAATAAATCCTAAATGTGTTTGTTGATGCAGCCCTATTAGTCAGTTAGTTTTTGACGTTGAAACTGTAAGCATCTTCTGAAAAGTGCTACTCTGCTCCAAATAACTTCCTACACAAAGCAAGGTCCTCATAGCAGCTAAACCCTCTTTTCTAGGCCAGGATTTCCAATGCAGAATGAAACTACCAACTTACCTTCCTTTCAAAAACCCCACATCTTAATTTCGTGTACATGCATACTTATTGATAGAACCAAATGGTAGTATAAGCATTTAAACTCCTGTTCCTAGTGGTTAGTTCAACTTAACCCAGCAATAAGATGTCTTTGGTGGATCTGAAGTTCTAACTCCCATCACAAGCAAACAGTATTTACTTTTTGTAACCAGCCCTCACTGCCAATTGCTGATACTGCACCACTGGCATCTTTCTGTT